CCTCCCTCCCCTCCTCTCCTCCCTCCCTCCCGCATCCCCTCCCTCCCCTCCCCTGCCCTGCCAGCCCAGCAGGGCTCCTGCCTTCACACTCTAGCCCTCCCCTAAACTACCACAACCCCCACCTCAATCTTTGTGCCTCTAAGACGAGGCCCCTGGGCTCCCAGACCCGCAGGCCCCAGCAGTGACCACCCCGCCACGCTAGGATCAAAGCCCTCCTATTGCCTCTGACTCCTTCAAAATATCGACTTGGCCAAAAAGTTCGTTCGGGTTTTTCTGTAGGATCTTATAGTAAAACCTGAACGAACTTCTCGGCCAACCCAATATACCCAGAAGCTGGCCACTCCGGCCGCCAGCGCCGGCCCCCTAACCCCACCCTGCTCTCTGCACAGAGCCTGTGGAACCGGAGCGCTCCTATAGCACAGCAGCCTTCAGAGAAGAAGCCAAGTCCCCCCACACCCCAGCCTCCTCTCTCTGTCCCAGCCTCCCCGCCACCCATCCACCCTCTGTCCCAGCCTCCACCCCAGCCACCCGCCCCTCTGCTCCTGCCGCACCCACAAGCTTGGTGCCCTCCAGCCCCAGAGGCTTCACCCCTGCAGCCCCCTCTCCTTGTCTTCACCCAGAGTCCCTGCCCCTCACCACGCCCCCACCCCACCTCTTCCCTGCGGCTCCCGTTCCTGCCCACACGCTAGCCGTGCTCAGCGTGGTCCGACGACCCTGTCACAGTGGACACATCCTACTCGGAGCCATCCACGCGTGGCTAGCGAGTGCCTGAAACGCGAATGTGTCATTTTATTTCATCTCAGTTGAGTTAAATTTAACTTCCACTCGCCAGCGCGGCGGGTGCTGCCCCCAGACTCGCAGACCTGACGGGGGTGGGCATCCTGCTCACGGCTGCACCCCAGCAGGGACCACAACGGAAGCGCAGAGAACATGGGCCAAGTTTCTGGGCATCAGCCCCGTGGGGTCATGGAGCTCATTTTGCAGCAGGGAAGCTGAGGCCGGCTAGGACTTGAACCCAGCCATCCTGAGAGCGGGTCCATCCCAGGACCCACCCGGGGGCCCTGCCGCAGAGCCACCTCTGAGCCTGCTCTGCCTTGGGTGGGAAGGAGGGTCCGGCCCTCCTCTCCCCTCCCCACCGAGAAAAAGAGGGACCAGGAGGCCTGGCTACGAGATCTGGGGCTGTTCTGGGGAGCTGGGATTGCCCAGCTCGGGACAGGCTGTAGAGCCCAGCGGCGAGTGCCCGGCCTCCCCCTGCCCCCCTGTGGGCAGCAGTGACTCCATGGCTACCCCGGGGGAGGTTGTGCCCACTCGGGTCCCTGGGACACGGGCTGGGGACGGCGCAAACCGGGCTGAGAAGGCACTCACCAGTTTGTTGTTCTCGTAAATGTTTTCCTTCCTGAGGGCATCGAAGTTTCTGGAAAATTTAAATACAAGTGTTCAAAGTAGCTCAGGGTCCAAGAAGGGAGGGGCCACAAGGGCCTCAGAGGTCATCTTGCCCAAAGGGGGAAACCGAGGCCAGGGGTGGAGCAGTGAAGGTACGAGGTCACACAACGACCAAGAGGAGGGTAGGGCTGGGCACCAGGCCTCAGGTTCTGGCCCTGCTCTGGGCCCGGGGGTGCCGTCCAGCACCTCCCGAGACCTGGACCCCAACGGCGTTTGGGGGTCGAACGTGCCCACCAGGTGCCCAGCCGTCCTCCCGAGGGGGCAGACCCTCAAGGCTGAGAATATTAGAGCCCCCGGTGCCTCCCACACACACTTGACCATAGGGGTGCAGGGGCCCCAGGCCCGGCCATAATGGTAGGCCTCCCCGGAGAGGCCAGGAGCACAGCGATCGTTCCGAAAGGAGGAGAAGCCCAGCGCCAGCTCCAGGCTGGTCCCGGCACTCCACACACACGCCCCGCACAGCACACCCGGGAGGACGCTCTGACCGGAAAACACAGCCAGACCCCAGCAGGCGGCCGGCCCAGCGCGGGACGTTCGGCTACGCGGCCCAACGCCTATCGGGTGGGCGGTTAAATACAGATCTGTCTGTCTGTTCATATGCTGGGCGGCAGCCTTGCCTCTTTGGGGTCAACTGGCTTGTTCCGGAAGCCTCGTGGCACAGGAGAGAGCTGGGGGCGGGGCAGGGGGGCCGCATCCCAACTCATCCCGGCCGTCCTGTCTGACCCAGGCGGGCCCCCTCTTCTCTTGAGGCCTCAAGGTCCCCGTCTTAAGAGGGTGACCACAGCTTCTCATGGTGAATTCGAGGGCGCTGGCTCAAGGCCGGGCAGGTGGCAGGCAGAGGGGGGAGGGGAGACCTTGCGGCCACCTGGCCTAGGATGGCCTGGCTCCCAGCCCTGACCGTGCACTGACCCCACCTCCCTGACCCTGCGACACCCCCGGGAGGCCTATTACACAGATGAGCAAACTGAGGCTGGGGCAGCGGCTGCCCCTTGGCCACACATTGGGGGTGGGAGGAGGACAGGGGCTGCGGTTTGCCCACCTCCCGCCTCAGGGGCCCCATCGGCCTCCAGCTGCTGTCCATCAACCTGCCCGGCTCTTTGGGAAACCTCCCAGTTTCCGCCTGGACCACCTCCCAGGTAACGTGTTCCAGATGTGAGACCACCCCAGGAGAACAGAGGGTGCTTTGTGCCCGGGACAGGACAGCGGACAGACCCGTCTGCGGGGGACAAATGACCGGAAGAGTGGGCGGGTGGGCGTGGCAGCCCGACATCCAGGGACGGCCATGGGCACGTGGAGTGGCTGGGCTCCGTCCGCCGCCCCGGGGGCTCTCAGCCGTGCAGGCCCCTCTATCCTCAGCGACTGGGGTCTCGGGAGCGCCTCTCCCTCCCTCCCCCCACCACCCCTTTGAAAGCTCAATCTCTTCTCCAGACCTGCCCAGGGTCACTGACCGAAACGGCCGTGTCCTCAGCAAGATGCCTGGCGCTGGAGGGCAGGATAACAAGGTCTGTTTTGTCTCCAAACAAGAAGGAGAAGGAAGCCCTCTGCCCCCCGCGTTGGCCTCGGTCCCCCAGGGGGCCGCAAGGGCTCCGTCTAGCGATCTGGGGCAGCCAGCTGCCCCCAGCGCCCTCTCCGCCTGCAGACCCAGAGTGAGGGTCTCAGGGCTCAGCGTAAATTGGGGCACCCACGACGCAGTGCCAGCCCCCCTGAGCAGGGTCAAAGGCACGATGGCCAGAGGGTGCAGAACTGCCCTTCCACTCAAGTTCAAGGAACACCACCCTCAGCACCAAAGCCAAGCTGCCTCCCAGGACCCGCAAGGCGCCATGGCTGGGCCGGACTACCCTGGCCAGTCCCAGGACTACCACGCCCCTCCCAGCCTGAGCTCCCCGGGGCCTTGGCTCACTGCTCCCTGTGCCCAGAGCGGCCCTGCCCATCTCCCGAGGCCTGAGCTCACGTCCCCTTGGCAGGGGGTTCCGCCAGCATCAACTTGGTCCCTGAGAGCTGCGGGCCAGAGCTCTGAGGCCAGCAGAGACGGGCGAGGGGTCAGAGCTGCCTCGCAAATCCCTTCTGAGAGCGCCAAGGAGGGGCCCGCCCGTCCCCGTCAGGAAGTCCACAGGACCAGGTTTCCGCCAGCAGGCGACCCCCCGGTGGGATGGGCTGAAGTGTCCCCCAAAAGAGGCCCGATGGAGTCCTAACCCCCACAACCTCAGGACGTGACCTTATTTGGAAACAGGGACTTTACAGAATCAAGTTAAAGTGGGCCCTAATCCAAAATGACTGGTGTCCTCACACACAGGGGAAATGTGGACGCAGAGATGTGCAGAGAGAGAGGACGAGGCAGAGGCCTGGGGAGCAGACAGCGTCTGCACACCCAGGGCGGAGGCCCCAGAAGGAAGCAGCCCTGCTGACACCCGCCCTGGGCTCCTGGACGGAATGGGTGGAAGACTCCTTCTGTCGTCTCAGCTGCCCGTTTGCAGGACCGTGATCAGCAGGCCTCGCGGGCTGACACCTCAGGCTGACCTCAGGGAGGTGGCCGGCTTGCGTTTAAGGCCTTGCGGGATCAAACTGCGTCAGCACCTTCATCCGAGAACCTGCGCACCGGCGGGCGGGGACCCAGGGCACCTGCCCCAGGTAGATCATTTTTTCAGGTGAACTCCTGTATTTAAAATCAGGGATATTCTTGGAATTCCCTGGTGGTCCAGTGGTTAAAACTCCGTGCTTCCACTGCAGGGGGCACGGGTTCGATCCCTGGTCGGGGAACTAAGATCCCACAAGCCGCTTGGTGTGGCCAAAAATAAAAATAAATAAATAAACATCAGGTGTGCTCTGCTCCGGCCCCAAGGTACCTGCCTGGGGCCAGGCACACAGCTGGCACTCTGTGAGTGCTGCCGATGAGGTAGTTTGCCCAGGGCTTGCTGAGCGGGGGGCCTTCGGGGGCATTTGTTTACTTTTTCGGCACCAGCCTAATGAATGAGCTCACTGGGTCTGTGCGCCCTGCCCTGGCCGGCGCCGGGCCTGGCTGAGAGAGCCCGAGGCACGCACGGCCCCTCCCGGCCTGCTTCCCGCCGGCCACAGCTGACCAGGGCTGCTGACCTCCTCCTGCCCCCAACGCCTCGGGGGCTCTTGGGAATGTGTACCCCCTTCCAAATTCCTGGAGAGCTGACCTCACGCTGTTTATTTCCTGGAACTAAATGCAACTACATGGGGGTGGGTGCTGGGACTGGGGGCGGAGTGGGGTGCGGGGGGAGATGACAGAAGCCCAGCCTCTTTTCCAGGCATCCCCAGCACATCTGGAGTTAATCCCACCGGGAAGGGGAGCAGAGAAGGTGAGAGACAGACAGACAGACAGAGAGGCTGAAATACAGATGGAGGGAGACATGGGTACCAAAGTGCCCAGAGATGAGACAGGAGAGCCCAAAGGGCAGAAGTGCGGGGGCGGGGGGGGGGGGGGGGGGGGCTCAGGGACAGAGACACCAAGGCAGACACCCTGCAAGAGGCCAGGGGAGAGGGAGGACAGAGCCAGGGAGGAGTGGACGGAGGAGGTGCCCGAGGCGAGGCGGGGAGGAAAGGTCCCCCCTGCTGTAGGCCTTCCTCAGGCTGGCGCAGACCCCGACCCCGACCCCAGGGCCCAGCCAGGAGGGGTCAGCCTGGGACTGCTGCAGTGGCCTAAGGGGTAGTCATGGGGGTGCTGGGCCCGAGCCCCTTCGCAGCCACAGGCCCTCAGGCCAAGAACAGAGGCCTCTGTCCCCAGGCGGCTTCCTGCTGACCACGAAGCCAGCGTCGGGGGAAGGCCAGCCTGTACCCGGGGCCCAGCCCCCTCTGCTCTGGCCCAGAAAGCAGCTTCTGGGTGCGGGCCTCTGGGGGTGAGTCTCCTGACACCCCACGACGGGTGCGTCTCCAAGAGCAGCCAGGGAGCCACCCTCAACTTGTGGCCCAGCCTGGCGGGGGCCCCAGAGCTGCAGGGAAAGGTCAGGTCACCCCCCACGGGACTGAGGAGTGGGGGAGGCCCAGTGAGTTTACACAGAACCCACTTCCTAAGCCCCGACCCCTCCGCGGCTCCCACAGAGGGCCGGGCTCCAGCACCCCTCCCGCCCCAACGGCCCTGGAGAAGGAAGCCCAGCCCCTGCCTCTGGGAAGGGCTGCGGCCCTGGCCCTGGCGTCTGGCCTGCCCACCCTCCTCCCGCCCTCCCGGCCTCCTGGAGCTTCAGTCCCTCCTGGTCTGGCTAGAGGGGAAGGAACACTCCAGCCCCACAGGTTTACTGCCGGGAGCAGGAAGGCTGTGTTTGTTTTGAGCAGTTCCTGCTCTCACCTGGCTGCTGGGCTGCTCAGGCGGATGTGGTGTCACTGGGGAAACAGACCCTGCGGGCGGGCGGGCACCTCCAGGCCCATCTGAGAAACCTACAGCTATGGGGTGGGCACCTACAGCTCTGGGGTGGGCACCTACAGCTCTGGGGTGGGCCTGGCGGGCCGGCCAGGGGCGGGGATGGGCCGGGCGGATCCCTGGGTGAGCCTGAAACCCGCACACCTGTCCATGTCCCTGGTGGTGTGGGGCAGGGGGGGCGACCACTGCAGGGCGCAGGTAAACTCGCAGATCCCGGTGGACAGAGCCAGCAGGAGGACAGCCAGGCAGCTGGAGCTCCCACCCGGCGGGCTCAGCGCCCAGCTCCTCCTTTCACGGCCGCTCCCCTCCACTGGGGGCCAGGAGGAAACAGGCTCACAGGAGCAGAGAAAGGGAAGGACTTCCTGGTGGCAAAGCTAGGAGACAGGGAGACAGGATGTCCACTTTCCTGCTGCTGGAGGGTCTTCACAGGATGGGGGGGGTGGGGGTGAGTGTCACCGGGTCTGAGCTCGGGGGCTCCCCCGGGAGCACGGCCACCCCACGAGGTTCCTGCGTGTTTCCTCCCCCCTCGCGCAGCACTGGGGGCCGGTGGGGTGGCTCAGGGCTTCTCGGGTGCGACCACCCCTCCCCCAGCCACCAACTTGCCCAGAGGCATCGCCGGGACCAGAGGTGGCGGAGGGGTATCTAAGGCATAGACACAGGCCCGTGACACACATGGGCCCACACGCACGGGATTCGATCAGCCAGTATCTGTGGAGCCCCTTCTGGGCCCCGCCACGTATGGGAGCCTGACTGGCTCTCCGCAAACTGGGCGCCTTAGAATAACAGACATTTATTCTGTCCCTCCCAGCCTGGAGACCAGAAGTCTGACATCAAGGTGTGAGCAGGGCCAAGCTCCCTGTGGAAGCTCAGGGGCAGACTGTGTTCCTTGTCCCTCCCAGCCTCTGGTGGCCTTCCCTGACTGTGGCCACGTGCCTCCATCTCCGCCCCCGTGGCCTCCTCCTCCCCTTGCCTGCTGCTCCCAGGCACCTGCAGAGCCCTCACCTGGCAGCAAGGGCCATACTTGCTGGGCCCCAAGCGGACCTCCCTCATCCACAGACCTCCGAGCGCTTGTCACGTGCCAGACGTCGTCCAGGCACCGGGGACACAGCAGTGAACAAAGCAGACAGACGTCCCCACCCTCTGGAGCCGAAAGTCCAGTGGGGGCAGGTGACCAATGACCAAGCCAGCAGTGAGTGCGATACCTCACCGCCGAGTGCGAGGGTGCGGCCGCCTCCTCCCGCGTCCTCCCTGCCCAGCCTTCCCCACCCTCTGGAGCTGCCTGAGCTTCCGTTCCTTTATCTGTTTGCTGTCTGTCTCTGTTCCCAAAGCGTCCCTCCCCGAGGCAGGGGCCAAGGCCACAGTGCTGCGCATACAGCAGGCGCTCAATAATGGTTATGTGAACTGCTGTAAGACACCAGCTTGTGCCAACACGTGGACACACCCACATGTGCACGCCTGTCATCACCCGCGGGCAGTGCGTGCTGGGACAGGTGCACACACACACACACACACACACACACACACACACACACACACGCCTCTAACCCCAGCACAGCTGGGAACAGATGGAAGCTCCCGGGGCTCGGAAAGGCCCCAAATCTCCATTTACACCCACGCGGCGTCCTGAGGTTGCTGGCCTGGCAGAAGGCGGCACCCTCCTTCCCGCCAACGGCAGACTTCTCCTGCTGACCCGGTGCGGGCTGCCTGGGGTCAGCCACCAGCCAGCCTCCCGGGGACCCTGCCTGCCCCAGGCTCCACTGCCAGTCCGTCTCCCAGTCTCCATGACCACGCGCCCCGGCCCCCCACAATCAAAGCTCAGCTTCGGGTGTTCAGAGGGTAAGCGCATGCTGCCCCGATATCTGGCTCTGAGGGCAGCTAAGGCAAATCCGAGGCAGGGAGCAGAGAGGGCTCCCCACGTGGCTCCACAGATGCATTTCACAACCCCAGGCGGGAGGAGGAAAACCCTGCAGGCCTCTTTCTTAAGACTAGCTTCCGCATAGAGGGCGGTGCTTGGGGACAATCCCTGGGGGTACAGCGGACATCTGGGTGCAGGGGAGGAGCCCCATGTGCCAGCCCTGGTTCTGCCTGACATGCTCTGTGTCCTGAACAAGGCTGTCTCCTCTCTGGGCCTCAGTTTCCCCGTCTGTACAGCAAGAGGCCCAAGGGCAGCATTGAGAAGGTGCTACCTCTGACTGCTCCCAGCCAGAGCCCTCCCTGGCAAACACGCTCCACCTGCCCCTGGTTCCAGCCATGGCTTCTCAGCAGAACACTTTTAACATTTAACAAACAGCATGCTTTTTCCAGGAGGCGTCTTCCAAGGACACCCTTCCTGAGCGTCCATCCGCCCAGCCCAGGCACCCTCCCTGGCAGCTTTACTCATTGTGAATTCTCACGAGGCAGGGGGGCCAGGGCCTCACAGCACAGAGCTGCCCCAGCAAGCCGGGTCCCAGTCCCGGCCAAAGAGCGTCTGCTGAGTGAATAACAGACGGAGCGGGTCCAGGGCGGGGACAAGATCTGGCAACAAGGCAGGGCCAACCTCCCAGCCTTGACCCCTAGACCCTCCTGGGGGGAGACGACCTAGCCCCCTCCCCTCCCCACCTCCCAAAGCTCCCATCTGATGCCCCATCACCCTAGGGTAAGGAGGCCCGGCCAAGGGGACCTGGGGGGTGGGTGTCTCAAACTTCCTGCTCTGCATTGGCCCCTCCCCCACAGTGACCCTGGGCTGCATTCCTAAAGGTGCCGGAACAGGCTGGGGGACGGCCAGTAAGTACCACACAGTAAGACCCGAGTGTCCCCCAGCCCCTGATCTGGTAGGTAGGTCCCAGGACAGTGGGGATCTCAGAGGGCCCAGAATATGCTGGCCCTTTCCCAGGGAGACCGACGGGGAGGGCTGGCTGTGGCCGGAGCCCAGGACGCTGGCCTGAGTCATGGACTGACTAAGCCAGCGGGGGCGGCCGGACGTCCTGGCTCCGGCCCAGCTCCACTTGGTGGCCGGGCAAACTGAGACCCTGCAGGGGCCACGGGGCGGGCGTGCCTGCAGGGTCCGGCTCCGCTCGGCCCCGGAGCGTCCCACCAGGCCCCGGGCCGGGAGCTCTGACCGCGGCCCATTGCCCCGCCTCCCGTCCGAGCAGCCTGGCCTCAGTTTCCCCGCCGGAGGCCGGCGCGCGGGGAGCGGGCGCACTCACATGAGGTCGGGCCGGTGGCGGTGCAGGATGGCGCAGAAGGCCAGGCCGTCGCGGAACGACGTGGTCATGTTGGTGATGCTCACGTCCCGGTAGCCCTCGCACTGCTGCCGGCACCACTGCTGCAGCGCTGTGATGGCCGCCATGAGGGCAGCGGCGTCCGCCCGGCCGGCGCCGAGGCTCCGAAAGCGCTCCCGGGGGCTGCGGCCCGGCCCGAGCCCGGGGCAGACGAGCAGCCCGCCCCAGAGCGCCGGGAGGACTACGAGCCGGCGTGAGCGCGGCGGCAGTCAGCCCGCCAGCCCCTGCCCCCGGCAAGGCCGCGCCTCCGCCACCACAAGGCCCCGCCCTCCAGGCGCCGCTCCTCCCTGCCACGCCCCCGCCACACAAGGCCCCGCCCCATCAGGTCCCACTCCTCCTGGCCAGGCTCCGCCCCGGAAAGGCCCCGCTCCCGAGCCAGGGCCGGCCCAGGCCCCACCAGGCCACCACAAGGCCCCGCCCCTATAGACCACGCCCAAGGCCCCGCCCGCCACTCGCCTCCCTCCCTCCCAGGGGTCCGCGGGAGGCTTCAAGACTGTCTTTCTTTTCAAAGCCTCCGCCACCCCACCCTCCTGGAGCAGTGCGGTCAAGGCCACTTTACAGACGGGGAAACTGAGATCTGCCCGAGGTGCAGCGCGGCCCCCACCCCCGCCCGAAGCGCAGCAGGAACGCCCGTCGCATTTCTGGGCTTTGAAAGGACTTTCCCATCCGCCCTCTCTTGCCGGCGGGCATGTGAATCTCCCGGATTCACGGAAGAGGCGGCGGAGGCTGGGGAAGGGGCATGGTGCCCGAGGTGGCCCTGCGGGTGGGGCAACTCCCTCCAGGAGCCTCCCCGCCTGCGGCCTGTGCGCACGGGCTGCTCCTTGGGCCTGAGACCCCTCGGGGGTTCTTGGTGTCCTGATCTGTTTCCCAGTTTTCCACTTTGAGCATCTGTGACCCAAGTCATTACAGAAAAGTACCTCTTGTGGGGACCTCAGTTATTGGGCTGCTCCCCTCCACATTCTCAGGGAAACCTGTCTGTGGGCATGGGGACAGACAGCCAGAAACACTGACACCAGACAAGTGAAGTGACCCCGCCCACCCGGCCGCAGGCCCAGGGCTTGTCCAGACAGGGCCTGGCAGGAGGGAAGGTGTTTTCCTGAGATAGGCCTGGCAGGGGGACAGGGTGGCTTCTGTGCCCACTTGCAGGAGCGGAGACAGTCTTCCAGTCCAGAGCCAGCTCTTTCCTGCAGCTGGACCCTGTGGTGGCGAGCTCCCTGTCACAGGGGGCAAGCAGGTGCTAGACAGGGAGCCGCTGTGACCTGGGACTGTCACTGGCTGTGGATGCTGCCCTGACCTGCTGGGGTTTCCCAGCTAGAGGACAAAGGGCAATGTCCTGTCAGTTCAGTTGGACTGGTGGCTAGTCCCAGAACCAGGAGCCAAGTGGGTTTTCCTGACCCCCAGGGCAGCATTTAGGAGAACTGGAAAAGCGGGTGAGGTCGGGTAAGGCCAAGGTCAAGAAGGGGGGTGGGTCGGTGGTCACAGGGCTGGACGAGAGGCAGACAGGGCGGGGGGCTCAGAGTGAAGAGGACGAGGTGGCCAGAGCTCTGATTCTGAGGAGTTTAAGCTGCACGCTTGCCCCCACTGGCCACCACGTGGCCACCTCTGGGGACAGTGACTTGGGAGGCGGCATTCGTGGTGGTGTCCCCATCACCACCTCACACATAGCACATCCTCTGCTGGCCCTGCTCCTCTCCAGGGCCCCCCGATCCAGGACACCCCCAGCCTGCCCACTTCTCCCCACTGCGGCCACCAACATCTTGCTCCTGGCCACTGGCCAGTCTCCCTCGGCTCCCTCCTGCCCCCTGACCACCAGAGTCCACCCCTCCCCAGCAGCCAAGGGATCTTTCTAGAGAGCCAGTTGGACAAGCCCTTCCTTGCTTGGCCTCTGCAGCGCTCTGAATGAAGTCGTCCGGGCCCCTTATCACATCTCCAGCTGCTCCCTGGCCTGCCCTGCCCTGCTGGCCTCAGAACCTCCACCCCTCTTGCCTCCTGCACTCAGCCACTCCTGGTCCTCCCAGACCTCCCACCAGCCCCACCCACAGCCGGCCCATGACGTCCTGCCAGCTGCTGGGGCCACAAGCCTGGGCAAGCTCCTTGGCCCCTGTCCTCTCACTGCCCACATCCCATCCTGCAGGAAGCTGACCACTGCCACCACCTCCACAGCCACCAGCTGCTGTGAGCCTGGGTTTCTACAGGAATCTTCTAACCATGGCTCTGCCTCTGGCTTGCCACCTGCAGTCTATTCTCAACACAAAATCTTTGATGACCACGGGAGCCAGAACTTGCCCCTGCCACTTCTCCAGCCCCTCCTCCTCACAAGGAAAGCACTGTCCTCAGCATGGGCCATTGTTACCTCTCCCATCTTCCCTCCTACGACCGCCCCAGGACCTCAGCACTTGCCATTTCCTATGCCTGGTCCGATGTTTCCAGCCTCCCTTGCAGGTCAGTGGGGCTGTTGTGGCTGAGTTCTGGCCAATGGAGGTGATGGATGCACCTCACACTCTAAATCTTCCCCGGTCTGCTGGCCGGAGGCAAAGGACCTACTAGATGATGGGGCCACAGGTGGACGAGCTTGGACACTGCAGGGTCAGGCAGAAGGTCATCACTGACCGGGGACATCCAGATTGGCCTCTGGGTGAGTGAGAAATGCAGGCTGGGTCCAGTTGCTGGAACTTTGGGACCTGTTTGTTACAGCAGCTAGCATTCTTACCCTGACTGATACACATACACAGATAAACGCAAAATTGCCCCTGTGACAGTGCTCCAAGGGACACACAATGCCATTAGATGGTGAAGAAGGGGCCCTTGTCTTGGTCCAGAGGCCGGAGATGGCTTCCCTGGGGAGGGCACATGAGAACTGAGACCTGAAGGGTAAATGGAAATTGGCTTGTCACAGAGGAAAGGGAAGAGTGTCCCAGGCAGAGGCCCTGCAGCAGGAGTATCCGAGGAATGGAGGAACTGGGCAGGAGGCGGGGTGCGGCTGGAGAAAGGGTCGGGAGGGCTTCTAGCATTTTCACACCCATTTTCTCACTTAATGCTTAAAGCCACTCTTTAAAAGTGGGTTGACCCTACCCATTCTGCAGCTCAAAAAATTAGGTTCTGAGGAGAGAGGAGACCAGTGGATCAGCCAGGCAGAGCTGGGACCTAGGACCCGGCACGGTGGAGGGCCCGAGGAACCCGGGTCAGCCCGGGCCGCTGCCCTGCCCGAGCGGCTGCCCTTGTCTGGGTCAGAGCTTCCAGGCCAGGTGGTCTCAATTTCCCCCGGTCCTGCTTTCCAGCACGTGTTCAGACCCCTCGGTGATGATGGGGGCCCCTCCCCGGGAGGAAGGCTGGCAAGGACATTGCTGGGGACCCAGGGAGGATCGGGACCAGGGCAGCACTAATTTGCATCCAAAAAGCCAGCTCCCGGAGGATGCACCGCCTACTGGGCCCCTAGGATGGTTCTTGGTGGTGGGAATGGGCACGACACCTTGGAGTGGTGGCGTCTGTAGACCCTTTAACTGGTAGATTGAACCCCAAGTAACAGATTTGACCAAGGCTGATGGCCTGAGCTGGAACATAATCGGAGGCGCCTGTCCAAACACAGCAGACCTGGCGGTGCCCTGAGCCTTCAAGGCAGAGCAGGGAAACCAGGAGAGGCAGTGGGGGGCGAGAGAAAGAAGTGGGGAGGCATCCACCCATGCGGCCCTTCCCGCAGGACTTCTCAGAGCCTTCATGCCCTGCCGTGCACCGTGACTCCCAAGGGAGAGGCCACGCTACACAGGGGTTCCCAAACTGACTTGCCCACAGAACCTCTGCTGCAGGGGTGTCTCGGGAAACGAGTGCCACACAGAACAGAACCGGGAGCCCTGGCTTGTGCAAAAGACATGCTTGGACTCCAGCGGGCAGGTCCAGGTTGGCAGCCTCGCTCAGCAGCTTCGCCTTGTCACCCTCACTTCTCTGAGCCTTCACAGCAAGGTGGGGGCCCTCATCCCCAGTAGCACCAGGCTGAGCTGTGGAAATGCGGCTCCCTGCCACAGTAACAGTGTTACCTAGCCAGGTAATTGTGATCGATGCCGCCTGTCTTTCCATTGATTGGTCTGGACTGGTTAAGGATATCATTCACGTCACCATCGCACCCTGAGCACCTCACCTTTAATAAGTAAGTGAAAAAGGTAAATAGTGCTATCTAGGTTTGGCTTTCCTCAAGCTCCATCCATGAAAAACAATTAATTTTCATGGCCACTGTGGTTGTGAGAGACGAATGCTGGAGGGTGGTAAGCAGAGCCCCCCAGAGGGATGCCAGCCCCTTGCCGCCTGCAGCGGAACCACCTTGGGGGGTCACGCTGGCTTCACAGCAGAGCATACAAGGGGTGTCCCCTCATTCCCCAGTTCCCAAGGCCATGGTTGGGTCAGCCAATGGCTCACGCAGGCGGCTGTGAACACCCGCACCGCAGGCAGGAGGGAGCTGGAAGCTGCGACACCCCATTTTAAGGGGCCACCCATTAATTAATTAGGCCCAATGAATAATGCATGCCGCCTTGTGCATATTTATACGGCGTGCTATGGATGGTATACGTTCTAGTCCGAACACCTCACAAATAATTCACAACCCACTCCTTCCCCGGGCTCCGGGGGAACCTGGCCGGTGCTTCGGCTGGGGCTCGTGGGTTGCTTCCAACAGCCAAATTTTACATTTCATTATAAATGGCTTTGCTGGGCATGTCGGTAACTTTTACATTTCCATCCACTTTATTATTAATGGCTTTCCCGAACTGTAGCAGCCCAACGCTGCACACAATGCGTTATAAATATTTGATCCGGCATCTATAGTCTGCCATTTATCATTTATAACGGGTTACAAAAACATTATAAAACATTTACTGCACATTTATAGATCATTTTTGGCTACCATGACGATGTGTTACAAATACATTATTAATCCTTCTCACGCCATTTATAGGAACCCTTTGTAATGGGGCCTGGCCCTCCTGTCCCATTAGCAGCGCGCAGGGGCTGGCAGGGGCGCCAGGGAGCAGGACCAGGGCGGAAGGAAGCCTGGCCCTGCCTCCAGTAGCTGTGTGTCCTTGGCCAGATCACAGCACCTCTCTGTTCATAAAGCAGGTCACATGACAGGCACCCTTCACTGAGCACTGCCTCCGTGCTCACGGTCCCCTGAGGCTCAGGCGTTATTTTCACACCCCTTTTACAGATATGGAAGCAGAGGCGAGTGGTTTGCCCAAGGCCACAGTCAGGGAGCACTGAGCTGGCCTCAGAGCCCT